CACATGTTTTGACTTTCTTGAGCCATTCTCCATGGTGTTTTCGAGGCTGGTGAATGCAAGCATAACAATGACGACTACTACTACTACTACTACTACTACTACTCCTACTCCTACTCCTACTCCTACTCCTACTGCTTCTCCTACTACTACTACTACTACTACTACTACCACCACTACTACTGCTACTGCTACTGCTACTGCTACTGCTACTACTGCTACGGCTACGGCTAGTGCTACTGCTACTGCTACTACAACAACAACTACTACTACTACTACTACTACTACTACTGCTACTGCTACTACGGCGAGCACGGCGAGGACGACGACTAGTACTAGTGTTGCTACGAATACCTGTCAACCTGCGAAAATCAGCCACCAATCAGCTAGAATAGCAGATTAGCAAACAAGTCAACCGGCATCGGTATTTGTTGTTGTCACCGTCCTCATGATCATCCTCATCCTCATCCTCATCCTCATCGTCATCATCATGTTCATGTCGCCATGGTAGCAGCAACGGCAACCACAATAATTTCTTACAGGCTTGGTCATAGCGGCGTAGCAGGAGTGTACATCAGTGCCGACATTCAAGAGCGAAGTAGTCATATATATATATATATATATATATATATATATATATGTATATATATATGTATATACATAGCAGTACTCACATTGTCATCCATATTACACGCCAACCCTCATAAGAAACACGTTTCTAATCACAGTCTTTCCATAAACATAAAACATCAACTACTGTTAGCATCATCAGAAGTATGGGCAATAGCTCAAGGTGTTGCACTGGCTGCATCTATAGCTCTCAGCAATACCACTGCACTATTAGTCTGTGGATCCCACGTTACGGTTGTCGCGTACGGCCGTGATTGCCTTGGTTGTTGCCATAGTGGTGCCATTCTTGTTGTCAGTAACAGCTTGTCAGTCTTTGGACAGCTTTATGGTGTCAGTTTGGTTTGACTTGGATTGAGGTTTGTGGTGCTGGCTAGGTCATATTTGCTCTCAAGCTCAGTACTGCCGTCCGTAGACATATCCATGGACCTCCAAGAGATGCTCCGGTCTCTGGCAGGAAACCGCTTTGACCGATGGAAACTGCAACATCAAGGTCGCCGAGCACCCAAGAACAGTTTCCTCCTTGCTTGAGCAGCTCTGCAATGCTGTGCAATGCACAAACCATCTCTGTCTCACCGAGTTACCACTTAGCGGAAGTGGAAAAAGCGCTAAACCCGAACTTTGAATCCAGAGCCCAAGCCAGAATCCCAAATCCCATCCCCTGGCGCTGCAACCTTAACCCTTCGAATCCCGGCGTGCATGTCCAGGGCGGATCAGCATGGGGTTTCTAGTGGATTTGTCGTGAATTTGCGGGGTCTTCTTTGAGAATGTGGTTTTGCTTGACGGTTTTAGGTTTCCGAATGTGAAGGGCCTCTACATAGTTTTTGGATAGAATGACATCTTACGGTATAATGTGGTCTCTTCAACGTTATTCTCTCAACCGCGAAGCCGTGAAACACAACTTATCTTCGGCTCAGACGAGTTTGCGTGCTGGGTCGTTTCGTGGCCACAGCGCGCCCTCTCTCGCCGCAGCCTCAGCAGGAAGGAGAACGAATTCAGACTGAGCGACGACTTAGACCCCAAGCCCTGAACTGGGTGGGTTTGGTCTTGTCGTGGTCGGGGCTGTAGTGATCAAGCCGCTGCAAGAGTTTTCGGGCCGTTTGGGAACTCTTCCTGCGAGTTTCGTAAGCAGCTGGTATTCCCTCTGGAGATGTGTATCGTAGCACGCCTTGTGTCGGCATGCCCGCAAAGCTCAGTAGAATTGGCCTTCCGACAGGCGACAATGCAGCCGTCAGTGCTTTTGGTGCTGGCGTTTCTTCCCTGCTATGCGGATGCATCGTCCTATCGGCGGACGAAGATGACCTTCATTGAGGAGGGAGCTCACCTCTAAGCTTAGACGCACACAGCCTGGGGGGCGGCTTTCTTTGTCTTCAGCACTCAAGCCCACGCCTGGACGTGGAGTGCGTACACTAAGGTCCCGGTGTTCCAGCCACGCAGTTTGAGGTTTCAGCTTCAGGCAGTGCTAAAAGCTGGATGCTGAACGGTGAACCTCTTGGGCGAAGGCTCCCGTTGTACCACAAGCCTTCTTTGTACCATGCCGGTCCCCCAAACGGAGCCTAGTTGTTTGTAGTCTTCAAACTGACTGAGCTGCTGCAGCTCTGCAGGAGCAGATGTCGATGCAAATGAAGCTGATGATGCCAGAGAGGGCGACTCTCAACAACATCGAGGCAGATGAGGTTTAGGAAGGTTTTGGGGTTCTCGTTTTCTAGTTGGGCTGTGTTGGGCTCGAAGACGGCTGCCGCAGGCCTCCATGCTGAACATGGCGAGGGCTCGCAAGGACGGCACCGGGGCCACCAACTTGCCTCGGCCTCAACGGGAGGCTCCAGAAATTGCAGGGGGGCGTTTCTGGGTGCATCGGTCAAGTTTTCGTTTTCGAGTACGGGTAGGGAGGCTTCGATCCAAACGGTAGAATTGATTGAAGGCGTATTCTGAGATTCTGTTTAGCCTGCTGATATCTTAAGTAGGCTCAATAAACAGCATGCAGAATACGGAAGACTATCGTAAGGTTCTTAAGGGATCCTGTCCTCGCGCATTCCCTGGAACTTCTCACTTCTTTGCATGTAGTGCTCGGAAGTTGACAAAGCCCACTGCGTAAGCTTGACTACACATCAGTCAAGCGGTCCTTCACAGAAGCAGGGAACTCTCCCTAAGCTCCAAGGTCCAACCGGCGGCTGCCGTAGGGTGGGTTCAGGCACGTAGACGTCTCTTACAATCATGGCCTGGCTTGCTGAGACAAGTCGATCCCTGCGACTGCTTGTCTTGTTCGACGAAGCGGCACGCCCAAGAGAACACATGCAGACAGGAAGCCGAAACTTCGAACACACAGCCCGAATGAGAATGCCTTCGCCCTTGCTGTGGTCAAGAGCCTGAGGACGGCCTTCTTGGACCAGATCCAGGTCGGGTGGCTCATTTTCGAGGGGTTCGGGCTTTGATTTAAGAGATCCCAAATCCGAGCCTTCTGGGTCCAAGGCTTGATCTATGTTAAACCTTGGGGTTCTTAGGTTCAGGGTTGTAAAAGGCCTGATACGTCCAGCCCCGAAGCACCACGAGCTCCCGCGGCCTGACGGTTTCAGAGCATGAGACCCTGAGTCGAGCGCCTAAATCCTGTGCCCTCCGACCTCACACCCAAGACCCGAAGATCGCATGTCTACAAATCTTGACCACAGGAGAAACCGTTGAGGGATCCGGGCTCAGGACATTGGGTAGCATGCGGGTGCAGACTTGCGAGCTTTTTTCCTGGACCTTAGGCCCGAAAATCAAGCGAGCACCAAACAGCTTCTGCCGGAAACCCTCCAAAATCTTGGCCAGGCGCTTATCGACAAGAACATGAAGGCAAACATCTTGTCAAGGCGGAAGCTCCTACAAGCTTAGGGTCTGGGTGTTTAGGATGAAGGGCGCAGGAGCCAGCACACAGCGCTTGGGGTTGTTCTTTGGTTTTGGAAGTCCAAGCTCCTCGAATACTCTGCGACAGCCGCTCCGCCCACCCATCCTCACAGATCAGGGCCTGAGTCTGAGAATGGTGCAGTATGCTCAAGCTTGAAGATTCATCCTCAGTCTACTAGACCAGGCACCCCAAGTGCGTAAATCCTGAACTCGAATCGGTGAGCTTGTGAGGCAGGTAAAACCGAGGCCGACTTTTTCAATAGAAGAACCTACATCCTGACCCCCCGCACCGTGCCCTTAACCTTAACCCCAAAAGCAGTCGGTCAAGAATCTTCCCTCAAAGCCTTACATATCTTGCAGGAACCTTAGAACGTAAAATCCAAAACTGAAGCCATAAACACTGGAATTTCAAGCCGTAATTCTGAAGCCACAGGCAGAATCAGACGCAGCTCGATTTGGACTCGGCTTGGGTCAACCTCAGCACCCTGAGCAAAGGGGAAGTGGAGCGGCTTCAGTGTAGGACTTCTGTGTAGCTCTTCGATGTTTTTATGTGCTGTTTTGAGTTGTTTCGGTTTTGCGATTTCTTTTGTAAGGATGTATGGAAGTCGGGTTTTGGCCTTAACGGCTGGGGCTTCGGGTTTAGGGTTCGGGTACGGTTAGAGCGGGTGCAGGATTTGGGATTGAAGGTTTCGGGAGGCAAGGGGGATTGGCTTTTTGAGGTCCTCTTTCTTAAGGCTTTTCCCCACCGGAACTCTGAAAGATCCCTTGTAGAATTAGAGGAGCTCATTATAGATTCGAAGTGAGAGTTCCTTCAAAGTTCGGATTCTTTTAAGCGAGAATACTACGCTGCTTTCTGGGGTTCCTCTCTGCGGTTCTAGAAGTTCCGAGACTTTCCATACTTGAGGCACCAAGAAACTCTGGGCCCTCAAACTTAGTTAGACCCAGTTCCTGCACTAAAGAGCCCAAGCCGTACTCTGGAGAATCGACAGTGAGTCACTGGAGTTTCGCGCACGTTCCAAATCTAGCTCGTTCTGTGACCATTTGCCGACCCAGTACTAGTAAGCAAGGCTAAATGTTAGTGCGGGAGCCTAAATGATGGGTGGCATATTTCTCTCTTGCTTCACTGCACCAGGCCCCAGGCAAGCGTAGTAAAGGATAGTCTGATCCCCGGAAGCTGAAGTATGCTGCACCGTGAAACCATGTGAAACCTTTGTTGCGACCCAATTGGCTGCACAGTTTGAGTTAGTGTTTGTTTTCTTGGTGTTTCCAGTTCAACATCCACGGCTTGAGGTTTGAGGCTTGCTGCTCAGGTATACGGTCCCGGGCGTGCGGTTTTGTGGGGCCGCCGAGGCTCATGTGTGCATCCGAATGACACCAACTACGTCCCCACGCTGGTGGACCTCGACAAGGTTCCCGGTTCATCTCGTTCAGGCTTTTCAATTTTGGCCTAAGTTCTAAACCATGAGCTCTTCCGACCAAAATCTCCACAAGGTCAAAGCCCAAAGCCCTGAACCCACGACGGCCAAGGTTCACTCAGAGTGCCGAACGAGCCAGGACTTGATCCACAGGGCTTATGGGATCTTCTCGAATATTGGAGTAGTTGGAATACAGTCCCGCTGAGTTTGTGCCATTTTCGCGTTACCCCGGCCTCTGAATGTTGAATCTCGAAAGTATAGAGTTTTTCAAGTTCGGCAGGTGGAGCTTGGGTTTCCATGTCCAGGGTATCGGATTACGATTTTCACACCCGTAGTCGCCGTAGTCTAAGCAAACGAAGCGATCATGATCGTTTGCTGATCTTTGGGGATTCTGCATGAGGGGAACCACGCTTGACCGATGCATCTACGGCCTGTCAGTACCCAGCCCTATAGCCCCGAAGCCAGAGCTGAGAGCCACCAAAGCCAAGCTGCAATAGCTCCAAACGGAGCCCCAAGTCCAATGACGTCCATCCCTGCACCCCAAACCCTATCCTATCCCCCTAGTAGATGTTCTGGGGCAGGATACTATGTGGTCCAGCTATGAGCAAACCTGCATCATAGAGCGTCGGGGGCCTCGGGGGGATCTAGGGTGTGGTCGCTATGGGAACCTATGATAGTGTTATGTAGGGCACGGTTTAACGGCTTCTTTCGGAAGAGAATGGGGAGGACAGAGGTTGGGGCAAAGGATGGCGAGGGCCCTTGTGAGGGGCACAATCAGAAAGCCTCAACTGAGCCAAACTCCTTGCCACAAGAGCCTGCCTAACTACTACTCCGGCGGCGGCTCCAGCAGCAGCTGCTGCACCTGTCCTACTGTCGGTGCCACTGCTACTACTGCTGGCCCGCAAATGGTACTGCTGCTGCTGCTGCTGCTGCTGCTGCGACGACGACGACGACGACTGGACTACCGCGAGGACGACGACGACGACGAGGTAGTATTTCGAATATACTGCTTTGCGATGCATAGTGCCTTATCGAAGAGCTCACCCGAGCATGCCGTCAATCAAGGTCGGTTTGGGGCTAAGTGTCCTGCATCATTGGTCTGATTCGATCCGCTCTGTCGCTGCAGAGGGCAAATCTACGAGAACGAGGTCAAGGCCATTTGCGACAAGTACAAAAGCGTCAACGTGCCTCGGCATGCCTTCCGTGCGCCCCCCAAGTGCCCAAGCCAGCGTGGCTCCCCCCCTGCCCAAGTTGGGTCTTTGCATTCAGGGTCGAATGAAACTCTCAGGCGGAGAAGCCCCTAAGCCCCTGCGACTGTGGACAGTGAAACACTTGGGTGAGTTGCGGGAGTGATGCGGTGTGACACCGATACCAGGAGCAATAGCACTTATACTAGTCGTCCGGTATGGGGAGGGACTTCTGCTCACCAACGTTCAAGCCGGATCTCAGTGGCCGACTGTCACGTAATCAAAAGAAGCAGTAAAACTTCCGATGATCTTTCTGTTCGGGTTCACCCCTTAAGCAGTTCAGGGTTTTGATGAAAGGTTGACTTCGTGGCGTCTTTCGCACGGAAGACTCCAGCCGGATTCCGTGTCCAGGTTTTTGGGTAAAGGGTTCAGGGTAGCGAGGTAGCGGGGTAGCGGCTTGAGGCGCAGACTTTGAGTCCCAAGCTCTAAGCTCCACTGCCCTGAACACTTATCGGACCTGTAAGGCCACCTGAATACCAAACCTCAATCTGAGGTTTTCCCAAACCCGACGACGAGCTGCACGATGGTAGAGGGCACGCAGGTGCCTGGAGCTGTTGGTTTCCGGATCCAGTAACTCAGGGGCCTCAACTGGTCTCGTTTCTTCAGTTGAAGCTCAGGTCCCCACAATCGGCAACTACCTCCTGGCAGCAGAGGCTTTCTTTTCTGAAAAGTATGATCTCGTGAAGGAGTGGAAGGACAAGTGCGAAAACGCCACCAACACTCCCTTCGCGAACGAGGAGCTCTGCAAGGAGAAGATCTGCCTTTACTACGTGACTTGGCTTGAGGTCTTGGGTTTTGGATTTTGTTTTAGGGCTTTAGGCGTTCCCCTGTTAGGGGACCTCAAGAGTTTCAGGATCGAAAGGGTCGAGAGGATCTCCCCCTGCATTGATGGATGTCGGGCAGACATTGCTTGCCAGCTTCCTTCCATCTCGTGGAGACAAATCGGTTAAGTTCTGGGGTTCGGGGTTTGGGATCCAGGAGTCTAGGAATGGCCTCGGCCCCTCCTCGTCCTAAGGACAAGAAGATTGGCTGCGACGAGACGCAGGAGGTCTTCGAGAAGAAGTCCTGCGACCTTCACAAGAACTACACCTGCGGCTTCCTGGCAGTAGTTTAGCCCAAGCCAGGAATCCTAATCCCTCAGCACACCCAGACTGCGCCGGCACCCTTAATGACTTCATGGACTGCCGAACTGAAACAAAGCCAACCCTCCTAAAGCTCTTCATCCTGAGTCTGGTTCAGGAAAATACTCCGACTGCTATGACCAGAAGAAGGCTTCGTGGATAAGAACATCGGGTGCGAGTAGCAGCGTAGCATTCAGAATCGTCGCAATACTATTAAGCTCGGTGTTGGGCAGAGCTTTAACCCAAAGCCTGGCTTTGAGATTGAAGGTTGCAGGCTTCTTCGGCATCATGCAGCGTAATCCCCGGCAGCACCGAGTCCTGAACCTTCGCTTCCAAAGCCAGCCTCTTCACCCTGCACTACAAACGAACCTTAGTGAGCTTTTAAATCTGAAGCTATGTTCGCTGCGAGAAATCGACCGGAGCCCCTGTACCTTCGAGGACATCTACTCGAATGTCGTGGCCCTGGCCAAGGAGAACGAGGCGCGGGCCAAGGCTTCGGAAGCCCGGCCGGACCGTCTGACTGCGTGGCTCCTCTTTATATGGTGCATATCGACGTGAGTAAGCGGGTGAGCATTCGGCTTGAGTGCTCTTGTGGCCGACTCTTTGGAGAATCACTGTCTCCGGACAGCTGTGACACGGCGGCAGGGTTGATTCCTCTTCTCCGCACAAGGCAGGTCGAACAAGAAGTGCTCAGCTTACCCTGAAGTCTCGACCCTAAACCGCAAATTTTGCGATAGCCATGCGCAATTGGTACAATCATGACATGTTGTGAACAAGAGGGCGGCCAGCTTGAAACGGCCGTGGACTCCCCTCCCCCCATTCAACCGACCCCTCCTCCCTCTGCTGAACGCAGTTCGTTTCGGTACAATTTCATGGGCCAATTACTGTGTGTATTTACTGGGAAGGCCTGCCATGCCGATGGCCGGGGCAAGTTTCGTCCCGAGGTTACCTCTCCAAAGATGCTGTGCGTGCTATCCTAAGGGCGCAAGGGTGGGCTTGCTGAAGCAAACCGAGCCCCTGAATACCGAAGCCCTCCAAGCCGTGAGCCCTAGACCTGTAAACTGCTGAACCCATCAACGCCTACACCCTCGAATCCCTACATCCTGCCATGCAAGATCTTGGGGAGGTCGCGGCCAAGGCGGAGTGGAGGGCTGTGAAGAGGCCAGACTAAGAGATTTATGGGTAAGGGCTTTGGGATATTTTAGGGATTCCGGATATCTATAACGATGTTTAATGAGGTTGTGGTATGGCATGGCATGGCATGGGATGCATTGGATGGGATGGGATATGTGTACGTGCAGATGCATGTGTATATGTGTACATGTGTGTATGCGTGTATGTGCGTTTCCCCCTGTTGGTGTGCCTGTTTGACTATCTGTCTGTCTGCATGCATGCATGTATGCATGGACGTATGTATGTCTGTATGTATGTATGTATGTATGTATGTATGTATGTATGCGTCTTTCGTACAACTGTATATGTAGATGTGTACACGTATATCTGTATATACGTATATTTATAAACACGCATACTTAGGGCTATGCTCATCTGTCCACGAGAAGGCCAGTAATAGATGAGCGAATAATACTCACATGAATTCAGGAATAGACGAGCCTTTCTGTTTGCACTTACAGCGGTGGCTATGCGGCGGATCAGAAAACTTTGAGCGAATCATTCGCACCACTGCAGGATAACCTACGGGCTTTTGACGCTCAGTGTGTGTTTCTTCGTCAGCTCCGTGCAACTCGACATCTGCCATCTGCTTGAAGGAGAGACCTCAGCCCAACACCGTGGACCCTGAGTTTCCAGCACGTATGTCTCATCAACTAGGAGCATCATATGATAACGGCTTCTAATGTTTAGGTAGTGGACATCCAGGGTTCGCATTTTAGGTAATTTAGTCCGCAGCTTCGTGTGTAAGGGGCAGGCCCCTTTGGTATGCCGCCGCAGGATCGAGTGCTTGATCAACGCTCTGCGCGCTCCGCAGAACGAGATTGATGCCGCCATCGAAGCGTGCAAGGCTCAAGCAACACAAGCCCTAATTCCTAAACTCGGAGCTCAAACTTCGTTTGGGGAGTACGGATTGGGATGAGGCAACTTGCCTCCTTCTGCGGTATTTGTTTGGATTGCCAGCATCCTTCCATAAGAAGCTTTGGCTTCGGGTTTGGACGTTGGGGTTTCTATGGTTTGGGGAAAAATGCATCTTTAATAATTGAGCCCCGAACCAAGGTTCCAAACACTTGGACCTTGGGTTTGGGGGTTGGTTACAAACATTCAACGGTTTGGCCGTTGCCGGGAACCAAATATTTTGTGGGTATGTTTGGTGTAGGTCGGGGTCTAGTGATGTGGCAGCCTGCTGTGAGGTGTCTGGATGTCGGAAGCTAATTTCGTACGTAATAAGTATGTGTGTGTATATATATATATATATATGTATATGCGCACCCGAAAGGCTTATGTGTGATCCTTACCTAACCCGTCCAGGAGTCTGGTCGTCCTGTCCGGCTTGCGATTATCGGGGCACCATGCAATCGTTTCGGCGTAAAGTGCCTCTTGTGCGGTGCGTGCGAGAAAGTGGATTTTCATCCAAAGATTTGGGATTCCGGTTCGATTTCGATTTTGGCCTTAGCCTCAATCGACCAACCGCCTGAACAACCACTCCCGAACCCTAAGCTTAAGACCTTTGACTCTGACCCTAAACTCAAGTCCTCAACCCAAAGTTCATGAGTTCATGAGCCCAAAATTTTAACTCTTCCTAAACCTCAGGGCAAGATCTACGCCACAACGGATGTCGAGTTGACCTACAAGGGCGATGCGCCGGCGGCGCGATCGTGCACCGAGGCCTTGGGCGACCCAAGAGACCGGGGTTTGAAGCTCCAGGTGTTGATTTAGGGCTTGGGGAGGGCATGTCGGGGTAGTGCTTTGGGAATCAGGGTATTCCATTGCCCTGATGCTGGCCGTCACTTTCATGGTGCTCCTGCAACTCCTGCTCGTCTTCCTCATCCGCCTGCCTCAAGTCGTCTACCTTTATTTCGCTTTTGCTGGACGACCACTACCACTGCAACGATCTACTAGTTGGTGACACATGCACCAGGAGCACGAATTCTGGTTCTTCGCACGGGGGGGAGGCTGCCACTCACACACACAACACAACACAACACAACACAACACAACACAGCACAGCACAACACAGCACAGCACAGCACAGCACAGCACAGCACAGCACAGCACAGCACAGCACAGCACAGCACAGCACAGCGCAGC